CCGCGCAGCGGGGCGCCAACACCGGTCACCGGGTCCCTGCTCCGTGCACGGGTCCTGGCACGGGGTCCCTGCACCGGGCACGGGCCCTGGCACCGGTTCTCTGCACCGTGCACGGGGCCTGGCACCGGGTCCCTGCACCATGTATGGGCTGTAGCACTGCATACCAGGGTCCCAGCACCGTGCACCGGGGCTCAGCACCATGTACGGCCCCAGCACCATGCACCCGGGCCCAGCACCGTGCATGGGCCCAGCACCTTGCACGGGGTCCCAGGACCATGCACCAGGGCTCAGCACCGTGCATGTGCCCAGCACCTTGCATGGGGTCCCAGGACCGTGCACCAGCTGCCAGGACCGTGCACTGGGTTCCAGAACCGTGCACTGGGTTCCAGAACCGTGCACCAGCCCAGCACAGGGTGGTCACTGGGCTGCACCTGCCCTGGTCAGGATCGCACTGGGAACTTCCCGCGAGCCCTAGTCCGAGCACCCAGGGTGACATCCCGCTGGCTGCCGGTGACCACTGGCACGCGCCTGCCACCCTGAAGGTCGCCTTAAAATAGTGCGGCGCTGCAGCACACGGCACACGGAGGGTGTGTGCGGGGGGGTGTCTCACCCGGTTGCAGGCAGCCAGTTGCCTAACGGGGCGGTGTCGGGGTGTGGCGGGCAGGGGCCCCGTTCCAGTACCTGGCAGTGCAGAAGGCGGGGGCACAGCAGAGCGTGGGCCTGATCCAGCTGAACCGGCCACAGGCGCTCAATGCCCTCTGCGAGAGGCTGATGGAGGAGCTGCGGCGGGCGCTGGAGGCCCTGGAGAATGACCCGCAGGTGGGGGCCATTGTCATCACTGGCAGCCAAAAAGCCTTCGCAGGTAGGGCAGGGTGCCTCTCCCCACCCCAAATTCTTGGGGGGGGAGGGTTGGTGTCCCATCCTGTTTCTGTTTGCAGCTGGTGCAGACATCAAGGAGATGCAGAATAAAACCTTCCAGGAGTGCTACAGTAGCGGCTTCCTTGCTGGCTGGGACAAGGTCTCCACCGTCCGCAAACCCATCATCGCCGCCGTCAACGGCTATGCCGTGAGTCCCTCCCATCTCTCCTCACGCCCCCCGGTTCAGCTCCAGCACCCCCTGAACCCCCTCTTCCTCCCCTGTCCCAGCTGGGCGGCGGGTGCGAGCTGGCCATGATGTGCGACATCATCTACGCTGGGGAGAAGGCGCAGTTTGGACAACCCGAAATCCTGCTGGGGACCATCCCAGGTGAGTGGGGGGCACCCGCCAAGGGAGGTCCATCCCAGCCGGAGCGGGGACACCCAGGTGTCCCTCTCTGGACCTTTCCCTTCCCCAAATGGCTCCAGGTGCTGGAGGGACACAGAGGTTGACCAGGGCGGTGGGGAAGTCACTGGCAATGGAGATGGTCCTCACTGGGGACCGGATTTCGGCAGCAGAGGCAAAGGAGGCAGGTAGGAGCACGAGCCAGCCCTGGCACAGCGGGCATCCGGCGGGGAGCCATCCCCCCACTCCACCACCTCCCACTATCCATCCTAGGTCTGGTCAGCAAGGTCTTCCCTGTGGAGAAGCTGCTGGATGCGGCCATTGCCTGCGCTGAAAAGATCGCCAGCAACTCCAAGCTGGTGGCCGCCATGGCGAAGGAGTCAGTCAATGCTGGTAGGGGCTGGGGGGGCCAACCAGGAACCCCCCTGGGGGGGCTGCGGGGCCAGGCAACAGGGTCTCCCCAACTTCTCCCTTGCTCTCAGCCTTCGAGACGACGCTGGCGGAGGGGACCAGGACGGAGAAGCGACTTTTTTATGCCACCTTCGCCACCGTGAGTAAGGGGGTCAGCCCCATTGTGGGGGGGATAGTGGGGCTGCTGCAGCCCGCCCCAACCTCACTTTTCCGCTCCTCACAGGGCGACCGCAAGGAGGGGATGACAGCGTTCGTGGAGAAGCGCAGGGCGAACTTCAGCGACAGCTAAGCCCAGGGTGGTGCAGGTCCCCGTGGCTGCCTGCTGCCCATCAGCCCCCTGCGTCACCCCGCAGAGGGGGTCTGGAACCCAGCAGCGAGCAATAACTTGCCTGGGGTGAGACAGCCAGCAGCAGGGACCACCTTTGCCATTGCTATTAAAAGGTTTTCCTGGTGCTGCCGGGAAATGGGGCGTCCTTGCTGTGGTGTCCCCCCTGAGCTGGGAAATGTTGTGATTCATTGAGATGCCCCCACTCCATCACACTGCTCTCTGATGCTGGGCTGGGCAAGAGCAGCCTAGTGGAGCAATAGGTCCATGCGTCCCCTGGGGAGGGGACAGCCTGCGGCACCTTCTTGGGCACAACACCGATGTGCTGAGTTTGCCTGGCCTCAGCCCCACCGGGCTGAGTCCCCCACCCCGAAGCATCATCCTCACCCTGCCCGGGGTCTCAGGGCGAGCCCAAGGAGGGGGATCTCCCAGATCTGGGGGCCCTGCACTTAGCGATAGGTTTCTGGCAGCAATGAGGAGCCCACCAGGATGTGGAAGGGGGAATGGGTTTACTAGGTGGGCTCAAGGGTGGGTAGTGAGGGACGAGTCCCCTCAGGAAGCCCCAGGGGTGGATCCCACCACTCATTTCGCAGCCCAGGCATGTCTCCACTCAGCTGTGGTGGAGATGGTCGCGGTCCTCTTCCGGGCTGCTCTGCACCTCCAGGGACAGTGTCCGGGGTGGCCCGCGGGCATCGGCCTCCCTGGCTTCATCCTGGGGGTGGTGGAGGTGGTCGCGGTCCTCCTCCGGTCCCACCTGGGCTTGGCGGGGGCCCCATCGAGCCCAGGCGCTGCTGGAGAAGACCTTTATACCTGGTTCCACCTCTTTGGTGATCTCGCCCTCCTCCAGCAGCTCCACGGCTTGTATGCCCAGGATGCTGGAAGAGGGGAGCAAAAACAGCGAGGAAAGGTCGCAGTGCATCAGGGTTACTAAATATCCTCCTGCCCCAGGGGAATCCCACCTCATCAGGGTGCAGGGTCCCTGGTGAGACCCCCCCCAGGAGGCTGCAATTAGGATCTTGGGGAGCAAATGGCTAATTTAGTTACTTATCCCACGAATGGACTGGATGGGTCCAAGACATTGGCACCACAGCACCTGCAGCTCCCCACTGCCACCAGCAAAGGGAAACCAGCCAGGGCTCAGTGCTCAGAGAGTTTGGGTGATTTTGGGGGAAGATGGAGCTGGGAGCCCCTTAATTTTTGGGGGGCGCAAAGCAACAAGGGCGATTTATTCCCCCCTGAAATGCTTTACATTTTGGGGTGTTGCTTTGTTGGTTTTTACAAGCCAGATGCGGGTGCCCAAAGCTGTGGAGAGCACGGCCGCCTCTTACATTTCCTTGGCCAAATCCTGCTCCATGGCCAGGTCCTTCTGCCCGCTGTCGCTCAGAGCCTGCGGGGAGAGAGGGGGGTGGCAGGGGGGTGGCACAGATCATGCGTGGGTCTCCCTGTGCCCGCTTGTCACACAGGGCAGCGGGAGGGCGAGGCGGAGGGTGGGGGCTCACCTGGGTGCCGCCGGGTGAAGGCAGGAGGAGGGCAGCGCCCAGCAGGGCGGTGATGCTGCAGAGCCACACGGTCATCGGGCTGGCAGAGAGATGGCAGAGGAGCCACGTTGGCAGTAGCTGTGTTGGCTGGTGCCTGCGTACACCCTGCGCTCACAGTGTCTGCCTGCATCTGCCTTTATGCAGAGCGCCTGCCTGCACCCTGCACCCGCAGCTCCTGCCTGCATCTGCCAGTGCCCAGGGTGCCTGCCTGTATCTGCCTGCACTGAGCGCCTGCCTGCACCCTGCACTCACAGTGCCCACCTGTGCCCACAATGCCTGCCCGCACCCTACATCCACAGCTCCTGCCTATGCCCGCAGTCCCTGCCTGCACCCTGTCCCTGCACCCGCAGCTCAGGCCTGCGCCCACAGCTCCTTCCTGACCCCCAGCGCACACCCCTGCCCACACTGCCTGTCCCCCATGCTCTTTGGTGCTGCCCGCTGGGGCCGGTCAGGGACGTACCGCTCCATGGCTGCCTTCCGTGGGGCTGCCCAGCCTTTGCCCTGCACTTTGCCCTGCACTTTGCCCGCTGGCGGGTGTGGCTGCTCCTGGGGCCACCCGTCCCATGCATCCTACGTGGTGCTGGGTGGTGCCAGGTAGTGCTGCAGGTGCTGCTTGGGGAAACAGGGCATGGGATTAACCCCCCAATGCACTGGGGTGTGTGTTCCCCCCGTGCACCTGGGCACATGCAATCCTTATGCCCTGGGGCTCCTGTATCCCCCATGCACTGGGGCACGTGCTCCCCCCTGCCCCATGCACAAGGGCACCCGCATTCCCCATGCACCCAGGTCTTTGCATCCCCCATGCAGCCAGGGACGTGCATCCCCCACGCACCATGGCTCATGCAGCCCCATATTTGACAATAAAGCAAAAACAGCCACATTTCTGATCTCTGAATAAATGAACTGTGACTAAATACACTCTGCAAGCAGTGAGCAGAAGCAGGGACCAGCTGAAAGCCTCCTCAGAGCTGACATTCACAGTCTTGCTGTGTTACATAGATAAGGCTTATTAGAGCTCAACCAGGCCCTTGCAAGCAATGGATGTCAGAAGGAAGGAAGATGGACTTCAGGCAGCCTTAGTTCATAGGGTGCTTTGGGTTGGAAGGGACTTTCCAAGGTCATCCAGTCCAAACCCCCTGCCATGGGCAGGGACATCTTCCATTAGATCAGGTAGCTCAAAGCCCCATCCAACCTGACCTTGACCTGTAGAAAAGCACAAGCTTTTCTAACTCATCGGAAGCTGACGAGCTGGATTTGCCCTCTGAAATCAAACTGCGACGGGGCGGCAGCTGCAGCAACATGCCTGGGCTGAAGCCCTCTCCAGGGAGATGTGATCGCCCCAAAGCCCCCAGGGAGGCATGGAGGAGGTGGTCCAGGCAAGGCAGGCAAGGGGTTGAAGAGGCAAGCAGTGCCTGCTACCTGCTGGTACAGGTAGATGTCTCCCATGAGGCTGCCAGGGCACAGGCGTTTGCTCAGCAGTGACAAAGCCAAACAAGGTCAGCTTCAATAAACCCAGCAAAAGGAGAGGAGCCTCATCCAGCGCCATGGCTGCCTCCCCCTCTGCTGCCTGCTCCCCTGCCAGCTCCGGGACTTCTCCGATGCCCCAGGCTGCTCGAACCTCTCCCATGGCTTCCCGGCAGCTTGGTGATGTTAGACCATACTCCTGTATCCGGAAGTTCTCCTGGTTGCATTGCAAAGCTTGGAAAATCCTTGCAACCCCAAAATGGGCGCTGCAGGGCGGGCAGGTCTGTGTCCTCCTGCCGGCAGATGATCTCGGG